TAGGGAAAAATATTTAATTCATACAGATCCAAACATAGCTAATGCTGAGCATCCTACAGTCAACTCTGCATTTTCTTGCCTCTAACAACCAGGTTAATATGTCAGGCAGTTGCTCTTTTACTGAACTCTTTATTAATAGTAAGAAACTAACTTTATAGTGTTGATTTTGAAATAATGACTCATAATAATATGAGTTACTTTAAAAATGAGCAATATGTAAATATGTGATATTTGTTTTAGTATTCTTGATTAGCTGTCATTAATAAGGTAGTTTTTTCCTTGAATAAAGTGCAAATTCACAAGTTAGCTTTCTATTAATGTGAATTTTTCTTTGTTAGGTTTTTTTCTGTTTGGTTGCGGTTTGGTTTTTGGTTGGTTGGCTTGTTGGGTTTTTTTTAGTTTAGTTTAGTTTAGTTTATTGTTACACCACTCAGTCCCCAAATAATTATTTACTAAACAGAGAAATGTGAGCAAATTGCAGCCCTCCTCACCTACGGAAGGGTGCTGTACATTGTGTATGTTCCTTACAAATGGGAACAATAGCATTCCAGTTATCAGGCCTAGTTACATAGTATTAAGCAATCAAACCTTTTTCCCCACTTAAGCAGAGCAGAGCACTAACAGAGAAACAATTCAAATGTCTCTTCTGTGACATGAGAGATCTAATTTGTCACTTCACACAGAGATACTTGGTGCTAAAAAAAACCTCTCTCATGCAGAAAGATCAGATGCTTAACTTTGCACTCATATATTAATATATATGATAATTTCTATAACATAAGCTGATGTGTATGTCTAATTTTATAAATTACAAAATAGCACATTTTATGCACCAGTGTATCCAGATAGTTCCTTAAATAGCTGTATCACTGCTATATTGTTACATGATGTCAAGACTGACACTGTGTAACTATGCACATTTTTTTCTTTAATAGAAACTAGTGCCTCATTTAACTTTGCTGCAGTTAAGAACTAGGATGCATTATCAGGAAATATAAGACAAATCTTCTAAAAGTACATTCAGAAAGCAAATTACTAAATATTATAGCAGAGAATTTATCTCTGCTAATTAACCGTACAAGTTACACTTTAATTCTTTCAGAAGTGTTTTATCTTTTAAACATATACAATATCATGTAAAATAACCATATTGTGTCTAAATTCAGATCTAAAGCCATTATGTTCTTTATGGCTTAGAAGTCTTCCTAGGAAAAATAATAATAATTTAAAAAAAGACCTAGCATTGAATACTTGATATTAGACATTTTAACTTTATACTTTTTTCATCATTTGTGTCCAGGAGATAAAGGACATTGCTAGAGGTTGTTGTGTAGGAATATCAAACAAGAAGTATTTCAGCTTATAAAACAGTTTGTCAAGGACACTGGTGGGGCTCTTTCCACAGCAATTTCCATCAATGCAAGGGCTCACACAAATGGAAAGAGAACAGCAGACCAAAGACCAGAAAAGCCACTCCTAGCAAAGAAAGGGGAAAAAACATAAGTGGACAACTATTTCAAGATCTAATGTAAATTACCATGGGGCTGGGGAGGGGAGATGAGATGTGACTAGGCTTTTTATTTTTCTTATTTTTTTTATTTGGAGAATTAGAGAAAAAGAAATTTTCATAGTAAATACTAAGACAGTAAAAAGAGTTTTACTGTGTACAGTTCCTGTCAAATGAAAAGCAGTTTATGCTATACCTACATCCATCTGAAACGTCTTCTAATGTCACCATTCACAGAACTGTGGGTTTTTTCAGAGTTGATTTTTATCCCATCTTTTCATCGTACTGGCCCCCAGCTCACAACCAAGCTCCTGTTGTTCCTTTCTGTACTTTATCAGCTCAACTTCAAACAGGCTTTGTTATCTGCTTATGTTACTGTTAAGCAAGAAAATAACAGTTATAAACATGAAATTGAGTTGCAGTTCTAAACCAAGGAAAGTAGTATTTGAATCCCAAGGAAACACAACTTCAGGTTCTTCTTTTTTTCCCATCCCTTTTCTAAGCAACCAGAATTCTCATAAACCAATAACAAATAGGGTAGAGATCAAAAGGCACACAAAGATTACAGAAGATGCAGGAATCTGATTATGCAGCCTGTTCAGGTTCTCTGTGTAACCTTTTTTTCCTGATGTATTCCCTTTCCCTTCTGTTCTTTTTCTTTAAAATTGTATCTGCAGCCAGCTGCTATGCTGGGGAGACAACAGGTAGTTCTTTGAGACACTTTGGGTGGAGGTTCCTCTAATTCTGTTTTGTGCAGTATGGAACTTGAAACCAGGCAGAAAGGATTCACGCTTCTGAGTTGTCACCAATGTCTTGTTTGAGAGAGCATGGAGAATAATAATATCATTCAGTAGTTAAATAGTCATGAATAGAGGACTTCTGTCAGTCAGTAAGTTCCAGTTGCTTAATATATTTTTGGGACAATTTTTAAATGGTGTTAGCAAAATGCTATCCACAATTGATATGGAAGATGTGGTCTGAGCTTCCTCTAGGTTTAAAATAAACATCTTGATAAATGCTCTTGTCTGATTTTGGATTTTAATTGTATTCTACTTATTTGTTTTTTAAGGAAGAAAAGCTTCTGAAGACACTTGTGCAGCACGAGGTCCGCAGTGGAAAAACTGCCAGCCTAGAAATGGAAGTGGATGGACTGCCCTTCTACAACACCCACTCACATATGATTGAAGAGCTGCTGCGAGAAGTGCAGCAGTGACTGGCCCCAGGGCTTTCTGCACCAGGAGTTGCTCCCATGTTAAGTCCTATTCCCTGGGCTCTAACAAAGTATAAAAGATCGGCAGCAGATTACTTTTAATCTGTGGCATTTTGGCCACACACAACTTTTCATTTCTACCCTTATAACATCTCTGTGAAGTGAGGAGATAAATACCACCATGATTATTTGTTTTGCCTTTCTCTTCTGTCATTTTATAACTGATATTAAATTACACTATATACTAAGATGTGATCTGGTTTTTACAAAGAAAGCTTGTCATTAAAATAGTGTTGCATTGCTGTTCCTGTTTTGCTAATCTCGTAACTGCAACAGGAAGTAACTAGTAGCAACTTGGGTTTAAAAATACCTTGTGGTGTGGAAAACCACTGCACTGGAGAGGGGAGGGTCAAGACAAAGAAAAAAAACAACTAACCAGTAAGTGTTACAGTAGTTAAATTTGTTAAATGCAGCTCCCTTTTATGCTTCCTGTAACCCTTCTAACATTGTCTTATGGTGGCGGATAGTTTATGGAAGAGGGAAGAGATAAGGGGAGAGGTTTAACTGAGCTAAGGGAAGCAAGGGCAGCATCGCAGACCTTCTGCGTAAAGGGCAGGCTACACTGTTTTTGCCATCTCTGTCTTAGTAGTTTACCATTTATGTATTTTGTCCCATGCTGAATAATACAAAAAGTTTGTAAACATTTCAGGGTATCCTGTTTTCAAAAATAAATAAATAAACAGTTATTAAAAATTAACGCTTAGAAATTCAAGCTTGATTATGAATTTTAAAACATTTGCATTTAGTATGAAAGAAAATTATGTAAGTGAACATTTAGATGAATTCCAGTTATGGAAATTCAGCTCCAGATGGGACTGAGTGAAGCAAACTTAAATGACACCTCAAAAGACGACTAACACCAAACCAGGACATAACAAGTCTGTGAATTGTCCCTGAGTTCTGTCATTTAAGGTTGTAATTTTCCCTGAGTGTCAGGGCATTCTGCCAGCTGTCAGTCCTTGCAGCAGGGAGGACAGGGTATGTTTGACACGCACTTCTCAGGCACTGATGCTTTAGCTGTCATTAAGTGGTTATAATGGTCATGGTACAAAAAGCAAGCATCAAACCATTGTACTTTAATACGATGAGAATGGCAGTTCTGTTCAGCCGCTGCTTTTACTAGAGGACAGTGGACTTCCAGCAGCCAGCAACATTTTGTATCTACTTTTCTTTCTGGCAGGTGAGTTTTATTTTCCTTCTTTTATGTGAGATAAACACGTAACTTTTTGAGAATGAGAAAAATAATTTCTTACCACTTTGAACAATAATCTGGATTCCTTGAGGGTACATGGCCTTTAAAGACTTAAAACAGTTGAACAAATATGAGGGAAAGAAATTGTAATTTATTTCAAGCCAGACTTGCTGCTAGACATTCAGACTCACCAAAGCTCTCAGTATTTATTTTAGGGATCAGTCACTTTTTTAGATTCACTTTATTTAAAGCCTTCTGAAAGTAAGTTGCACTAAAACCATCTTTGAAGTTTCACAATTAGAAAATATCTCCTTTGGAAGCCTCCAAACTATAACTATTAAGTAAAATATTTCATATGAATGCATGAGCTTTTTGCCAAAGCCAGTAACCCCATATGTTCACTGCTGCACAGAACCCACTAAATGAAATTGGCATAATTTTAAAATGTCTGTCTGGGAAAAGAGACAGCTGATTTCCTTCTCAGTGTATGTGCTCAGTAGGTTGATGACATATTACACTAAGAGGTGCAGTGTATATTATTCTTTACAAACAATAACTTTTGTAAAAAAAAAATAAAATCATTTAGTAAGCTTTTTACCCCCTGAAATACAAGTTTTAACCATCACATTTAAGTGAGAAATAAAAAATGTAATAATTTACTTTTTCTCTAATTCATGTTTTTTAAAATCCCTTCTGTGCAGTCCCAAGCATTGTATTTAATCTGATTGCAACAGGTAGCACATCTTTACCAGCCATAGGACCCTTGATTGACTGTGCTCTGGCTGAGATGGAAAGAAAAGCTGAGTGAGAGTTACTTTCCTGCCATACTGCTTACAGTTCTGCAGCCTAAGCCTAATAGTTACAATATAGAAAGAATTGTTAAAATATTGACCACAGGGAAAAAAAACCAAACCAAACCAAAACACAAAACAAACAAACAAAAGCAAACAACAACAACAAAACCACCAAAAAAACCCTCCTCCTTCTCTCATGGGTTAGCAGGTTAAATGTTGAGAACTGTAGAATGCTGGACTGTTACAAAAGTTTCCATCTGATTTTAAACTGCAGCAACTGACCAAGAGCTGACCACATCAAAGTACCAACTCAAATAAACCTTAATCCCTCAGCTGACAATTCGATGTAATATGGCATGCTTGGCCTTCCAGCTGTCTAATTTAAACAACATGGGTAACTGTAAAGAAGTAAAGCATAAACAGGACAACATTATCCTAGAACAAACCATGTGTGTGTCTCACAGCCTGCCAGGTCACGGGAGTGCAAGGAGCTGGCTTGGTGCTTAACAACGTACAAGCACGGCATGATGGCTGATCCCTGCCATAGGATACAGACAGGAGATGAGGGGAAAGATGAGGAGAAAGTAAAGCTAAGCAGCACAAACAGCCAGAAGGAAAAATCCATGTTTAATGGAATTACTCCAGCTTGCTAAGTGGTCCAAGTATAAAGAAATGTAAATTAATTAAACAAACCAAATGTTAATGTAAGCAAACCTAATCCCCTCCTGGGAGTGGGGACATGAGTCCTTTCTGCAAGAGGATCTGTAGTCTCACTAGCAGAAACTGAGAGCCCAAGCCATAAGTTAGTTATTTTAAACACAGAACCAACAAATATAGGAAGAAAATAATAAAAACATTATTTATTAAACACATTCCCTAATTATTTCTAATATTGCACTCTCAAGGTGGTTTCCAGAAAACTGTTAGAATGTGTTTCCTGTTAGAAACTGATGTCAGGCAAGGCTGTGTTACAATCACATGCTTCAGGTAGTAGTAGGCCAACTACTAGAGAACTGTCTAGAGTATCTCCTGACATTTAAAAAAAACACAACCAAAACCAGAACCAAAGCTAATGGAAGTTATCAGCTCCAAGTTGCAGAGAGGTGTTCCAAGAAAGGTTTGAAACCAGAGAGGTGAAAGGACAAGACAATATTAAAGGTGTAACAAATACAGACACAACAGCAAGAAAAGAGATAGTGGTGGAAACAATACTGTAGAGCACAACTCCCACGTCTTTAACTGCCATTATCTCCACTTATTCCTGTATTTTGGTTTTTGTCTACTCCAGGAAACAGATAATTCATACATCATATTTCTAACCAGATGCTAAGCTCTCTGTGGGAGAAAAGGGAGTTTTAATAGAATCCATGTAACAGTTTCCCTCACAAATACATTGTTATTTAATTGCCTACATGGTCTGTATTGCACAAGAGACATAAATTGCAAAGGACACAATAAAAATCTTAGCAAGTTTTAGTAGAATTTAGATGTAACATAATTATTCTTTGAACAGAATGACTCAGAAGCACATGGATTCAAAGCACCTCACGTACTCCCAACCTTCTGCTCTTTACCATGTCAACAGACCAATTTATCTCCAAGAAAACTCATCCTCTGGAAGTTAACAGGAGCCTTATGATGAGGTTGAACAGTCTGAGATGTACAGTCAATCAACAGACTGAAGGTCTCAGCAGATGCTGAGTTCCATGCACATATTCATCTGGAACATCTTATGTTATTGGATGGGTTGTTTTAGGAGGCCGGTTCTGGCACAGTCTCTGCGGGCCTCATAACTGGCTGAAGGAGAAGTTATTTCAGAGAGTTACAGGCATGTTACAGAAATTGATTTTTTATCTTTTTTTCCTATTTAAAAGTACATACGGGGACATTTGATTTGATTTGTTCTGTCTCCAGCTTTTTCGACAGATGATGACAGCTTGTAGAAAAGTGCTTTCTCTAGATGCAGTTAAAGACAAATTCAACAGAACCAGACAGCATGAGTCCTAGCTTATTCCATTCAGTGCAGTCATTAAGATGAGGTTTTGAGCGGTACTACAATAACAGACGCATGGTTGGAACTGAACTGATTTAAGCATGTGCTCTACTCAGTATTGGCAAGGTCCAAGCACCTCCAGAAATGACCTCACTGTAGTGCATTGCTAATAAGCCTTTGGGAGGTAACACTGTTGTTATAGGCAGATAAATCCAACGGATACACAAGTGTATAGCTGCAGATTTTAGATTCATGTCCTTTCTCGATGAATGCTATAGGCTGCCCATGTTGGGTGTGGAGGAGTTCTTCCTTTCAGTGCTCTCATGTGATATTTGTCATACTCCTGGTTGATACTCCTGCTGTGGCCCTTTGGGAGTTTCTGGAGCGTTCAGCGGATAGGATTCCTTCGACTTGGTCTTCAGACACCCTAAACATGTTAAACAAGAGTCTCGCATCTTGGCAAAGTTCTGGTAAGTGCTTTCACTGGAAAAACAGTACAATACTGGATCAGCAATACAGTTAAAAGTGGTCAACAGGAGAGAAAAATGGTAAATATTAAATATTTTCTCAGCAAATGAGCAGTTGTCCTCCAACAAGCTGCGAACCACGAGTAGGATGTGATATGGTCCAAAGCAAACTACAAAAATGAAAACAGTGCTTGAAACCAGTCGTTTAATTTGGATTTTCTTCTTGTTTTGAGTGCCGTGACTCTTGTGGACAACTCGTAAAATCCCACAGTAAGAGAAGGCCAGCAGAAAGAAGGGGAAAAGGAAGCCAGCAGAGAAGCGGTAATAGTTGACATTGTGCTCCCATTCTTTGATGGGATAATGCTCAAAGCACACCACGTGGCTCTCGGCGTCCATACTGATCTCACCGTGTGTAAAGACAAAGCAGCAAGTCATGATTTCTTTGGCCCAGACAACTATGCTCACAATTGCAGCCGCCTTCATGGTCCGGAAGCCCTGGAACCGGAAGGGGTGCACCACTGCCAGGTAGCGGTCGATGGAGATGCAGCAGAGGAAGCCCACGCTGATATATATGTTCTCGTACAAGAGGATGCCACAAATCTTGCACAGCAGCTCGTCATAGGTCCAATTGTCATGCTGTAAAACATACTGAAGCCAAAAAGGCAAAGAAAATATGTAGAGCAGGTCTGCAACAGTCAAATTGCAAAGGTAGATGCCCAGTTCATTTTTAGCCTTGATCTGCAAATACCCATAGTACAGGGCCAGACAGTTAGCTGGCAAGCCTAATATAAACACAAAGATGTATACCACAGGGGATAATGTCTGGTGGATATCATGATTAATAGTGCACTTCTCAGTTGCATTCCCTGTGAAGTTCACCATCTTCTGTCTCTCCCTGGGTATTGCTCATCAGAGTCCCAAATGAACAGATATAAAATTTAATTTCATCCACTTTACTGTATGGCTTATTTCTTCCACAAACCTTCAGGCTGAAGTGATGACTTGCTGCAGGATGTCAATAACCTGAAGGTAAAACACATGAAAATCTTCAGACGGGATATGTTTGTCAAATACACAGTACGGTTTTCGTTAAGCTGCCCTTTCCTAGCCCTACCTTTTCTTATAGTCTTTGATAGAAGATAAAGCCTGTCTGGGAAATCACAATTCATATGAGAAGTCCTAGCACGTACCAAAGAAGTGCTTTTGTGTACTCTTCCTACAACCTTAGTTAATATGATACAAAAGGAGAAAGTGCTATTCAAGGTCAAAGATAAGGCCTTATTGCTTTTTCCTGTTTACTACCCTATTTTGTATTTTTGTCATCATCTTCTGTCCTGTATAGGAACATAAAATTTTTTGTCAAGTAACCCTTATGAAAACATGACCACACTACAGGAAAATTACTGTCAGCTGCAGCAGTTGAGGGTATTACTGTCAAAATCTTTTATTAAAGTGTGGTTTTATTTTTAATAGTGGTGGGCTATGCTCCTATAGAAATTGAAAAGAAAATCACTTCCTTTGTCCAGAAAAGAATTGTCCAGCTGAAATAAGTGACCAAACCTGCAAAGACTTTCAGTGTTTATCTTCAACCAGTTGTTCTGATTTAAACATTAAAGGTGAATCCCAAAAAAAACAGAGGACAGAATTGCCCTCTCCCCCCCCCCTCTTCCAAGGTAAGATAGAAGGGGAATAAGGAAGACTTAAACTTTTGAAATTGAAACTAGAAACGAATTTACTATAACACAAGGGAAAAGGATAAAATGTAGTGGAAGAACAGGTAAGTATCTATATACAAAATCAATCTCGAGGATGGCAGGGATATGGGAAAGGCAGGGCTGCTCCAGGGGAGAGGTCCACAGCTCCTCACAGCACCCGATGCAGTTGGATTCTGGACGAGCACGTGTGAAGCCAAAGGAACCAGCAGCAGCACCGGCTGGGAGAAAGGAGCAGGAAGGGAGAAGGGCGCGGCTTCTGGCTCTCCTGGTTTGTATAGACTGTGACAGGAAGTGGGTGGGAACACTGACCCTTCCAGGCTTTCAGGGACCCGAGGACCCTCTCTGTAGGTGTCCAACACCATGCCAGGGTCTCCAAAACCATAACACCAGTGTGGCACAATCCCACAGAAATCACAGCAAAGTTAAGAACACGTGAATATTTCAGAATTGGAACATATTTTTCATTCCTTCACTTTTCCTCTTTTTCTTACCTACAGGGAGACTGTCAGGCTTGGTGGAAGTATTCTTGGGGATCTCAGATACCTTCAATCATGAACCAACAGCCAACATAAGCTTGTCTCTCTCATAAAACTTCTAACTTCGTTGTCCAGTGCAACTTGTGTGAAAGAGTGGCCAAGCCTAGCACAGCACAAGTTCTGCTCTCCTCTTGCTCTCACATAACTCCTTTTTGGGTTAAGAGACTCACCTCCTCCGCTCTGCGTGGCACAGTAGTTATTATGGATAAATCAAGTACAAATGAAGAAATGCTGCTATGGGGATCTAGTCACAGAGACCTATGGTTCAGTTTGCAGTTTGCTTCAAGTTTGCACTATCTAATCTACCAACTAGCAGTGGCCAATAAGTGTCCAGCTCCTGTTGATGAGGGCAGGTAGCAATTCAAAAGCTGCTGACAATTTTGAAAAGTCCGACTGTCTTTATGTTTGGCATAGTTCAACAGAGCTGAGTTTTGTTAATTGTTGCCCCGTGAGTCAATATGGATCACACCATGAGAAAAAGCAGATGTACTCTACAGTTGCACTGTTTTTGAAAATGTTTCTTTTCCTCTAAGAACTCAAAATGTTTTTATTAAATTAACTTTATATTATGGACAATATGGTTTAGCTTAAAGGTCTTGCCTGAATGCAGAACATGAAGAAGACAGCAAAAGTCTTATGATATTATGCTAATATAATATACACTTCTAATTAAAGCAACATTTCCTGCTCCTGGAGGAAGTGTTGAAGAGGGCCGTTTCAGAGAGCAGGAAGAGAAGGCTGGCTGTTACAAATCTCTTTCCTTGTGCCAACAAACCCTCCCCAATTTCAGAGACAGGATGAAGAACAGAAGTCCAGACTCCTGCCTGTGCAAGCTGTCTTATATTCCTCTTCCACTCAGCAGCCACTCAGTGAGCCAGGAAATCCTTCCCTCGTTGCAGCCTCCTCTCTGGGACAACTTTGTGCCCTCTGACCTTGTGCCTGGCTAGTGACAGGCTCAGCAGCCAAACAGGAAATCTAAAGGTAGTTCACCTTTCCCCAGCACCAACTACTCTAAACACAGCTCTGCACCAGCCAGAAAGCTAAACTGCATTTTTCAACAAACCTGGTATCAAAGTGCTGCAATGGCTGTGGGAAAAAAAAGGGATGGGGAAGAGCCCACCCATATATTTAGAATATAATACATGATGCCTTACAAGCTGTCTGAAGAAAATGAACAAGGGTATGGGAGAGAAAAGACAAATAACTTCCCTGTTATTCACTGACCTCGTCTGAATAGGAGGAAAATTTTAAAAGTTGCTGTATAAAAAACATCTGGGGTGCAGATAATCATAAAGCTGCAAGCATTAACAAACAGGAACACACAGGCATTCCTTTTAGACAGCTTTAATATGGAAATAGTGCAGCTGTGTGAGTTTTTGGAGCAGTTTATGTAACACCTTCAGTATCATGAGCCTGCAGGCACTTCCAGGCAATACTGCTCTCTCATATATGCCTACATCTTTTAGGTGATACCCATCTAAGCCCAAGTCTTGAAAATAAATCTGAAGACTCTCACCATCTGTATGAGCTCCAAACAATTCCCTTGTTCCTGGATTAAAAATAAAGCCAAGGATCCCTGGGCTTCAGAGAGCCTCACTTTTTCTTGGTTTAAATGAGCCAATTTACATTACTTACTGGACAGTTCAACAACAGGTTCTTTTCCTTCCCAACTCCTTTGTGCCTTAATTGTTGACAAAAACACAATCCAGCCCCCCTGCATAGAGAACCATGGAGCCACTCACATGTTAAGCTCTGTCTGCTGGCAATGATGGCACAGGAAATAGCTCAGAGCCACTTAGAGCTCTTCGGCTTGGACAGAACACTACCATGGAAGCCTGGATGGGATTTTTCAGTTTCAGTGAACATTGCCACAATGTTCCTCATAGGAAATCTGTCTGCAAGTAGATCTATGTATTTTTAGCAGAGACAAATGGCACTACTTTGTAGCAATTTGCAAAAGTTATGCACCCAGCTTGTCTCATCCACAAAGTACTTATTTCTATGCAGAGGGAGTGTTAAGGTGGTATTGTGCCTTTATGTGACAGCAGCTCTCTTGCTGTTTAATCTGTCCCTGCACCTGTCACACACTGCAGACAGGCCTGAGTAACTTGGCTTTCATAGTAGGAGTTGGACTGTGCTACATATCTTGGAACCAGAAACCCGAGCTTGTTTCAGTTTAGGTTGGTTCAGATCATGACCTACACAAACACCAGCCCTTAAGCTCACACCCTCAGCTTCCCTCAGCACTTGAGAATTTGTCAGCTTGGTTTGATCCTTGTTCCTAAAGCTGGGAAGAATAAGGTTAAGTAAAGAGGCTGTGAAGCAATTACCAGTAGAAGAGACCAGGGACCAGTCAAATGATTTAAAATGACCAGAAACTGGCTAATATTCTTAGAGTAAGTTTGGGGGAAAAAAATAAAAATAGAAGTGGAAATCGGGGTTCATGACTGAGTATGAGGAAATGGCACAGTGATGTTTGGATTCACTGAGAAGACTTATGATGTAAAAGATGACTCTGCTAGAATAGGTTGAGAGGAGGGCCACAGATATGAACAGAGAGCTGGAGCACCTCTCCTAGGAAGACAGGCTGAGAAAGTTGGAGTTGTTCAGCCTGGAGAAGGGAAGACTCCAGAGACACCTTATTGCAGCCTTTCAGTTCTTAAAAGGGGCTTGTAAGAAAGATGGGGACAGTGTTTTTAGCAGGACCTGTTGCAATAGGACAATAATGGTTTTAAAAAGAAAGAGTATAAATTAAGACTAGATATTAGGAAGAATTTTTTTACAATGAGGGTGGTGAGACACTGGCATGGGTTGCCCAGGGAGGTGGTGGATGCCTTAAGCCTGGAAACATTCAGGATCAGGCTGGACAGAGCTCTGAGTAACCTGATCTAGTTGAAGATGTGCTGCTTATGGCAGTGAGGTTGGACTAGGTGACTTTTAAAGGTCCCATCCAACCCAAACCATTCTATGATTCTAAAAGAGTCACAAGTAGAAAGAGCCAGCAATGGCAATAGTGCTGCAGCCAAACAGCTTGGAAGCCTGCTTTAGAGATGCTGCTGCAATAAGAGACACAATTCAACAAGAAACAGTGGTGTCAGACTGATCTCATTTCCTTCTTTGATGAGGTATGTGGCTGAGCAGCTAGACACATAGCAACAAGGAGATACGTATTGATTTTATTAAGACTTCTGACACATCCCAAATTACATTTGCATTAACACCTGGGAAATTGTAAAGTTATTATGTACTGCCCGATGTGTTTCATGACCGCACTCAAAAAGCAGACAGTTGTAGTTCACTATTGATTTGGAATGATGGACTAAGTTGAGTGTGCAATGTTTAAGGATGCCAATCAGTATTTTTGTTTATTCATAATTTCATCATTTATATCCCACCCAGAATGGGATAGAACATGTGCCCCCTAAATCAGCAAATACTGACTTGGGAAGGAGTACATAATACAAACAGAATTTAAGATGATCTTAGTCTAAAACAAAAGCAAAAACCATTGAGGGCAAATGCAAAGTTACTATGCTTGGAAAGAAAAAAAAATATCAGATTTTCAGTATGCAATGGGGAGTATCTGGCTATGCAGCAGGATGTGTAACAATGCACTCAGGTTCACTGTTAC